GACCTCAAAGTGCACAAGCTTCAAACTTCAGTGTTGGCTGCCATTTTGAAGCTGAAATCGCGTTCGGTGTGAACGCACCATTAGTAATGTAGCTGAATGATTCAGTAAAACCTGAATGATTCAGTAAAACCTGAATGATTCAGTAAAACCTGAATGATTCAGTAATGTAGCTGAATGATTCAGTGATGTAGCTGAATGACTAAAGTTGTGTTTACAGTTTGAACAGCTTTTCTAGATGGAAGCCTGTCGATGTAGAAGCGTAAAATGCAGTGAGGTTTAAAGGATTTTAACGGGATTTCAATGTATTTCAATGAGAAAAAACCCCTGAATATTTCAAAAAGTTTAAAAAATATCAACACTAAAAGTCATTCCTGTAACGTCCTAATGAGTTGATCATTTTGATACCTAAATTGCTGAAAGAGCTCAAAAACTGTGGGTGGTTTTCTGTGCCAAAAAATGTGCAAAAGAATTTATCATAGAATTTATATGAAGCTTTTAAGTGGAGGTTTTGGACTTTAAGGCTTAATAAAAGGGTAAAATGATTGAAAACATCATAAAGTTTATGGTCCTGGTCTGCAGAGTGTCGCTGGGGTTAAACAGGCCGTCTGCCGTTTGGCTGAACTCTGACTAAATCATGTAAAATCAGTCATTCTCACCTCCTGGCTGTTGTGTTTGTCCTTTTGGGATTTCTCACACATACCTGAAATCTTGCTAACATGTTACTGTGCACGAGTGTGTGGAATGTGGGGATGGTTTTGGCTCGGCTAATTTGCTGACAGCCATCTATGTAAACAGGTTTCATGACTGACAAAGTTATAAAAGATGCCTCAGAGAGAGATTTTAGCTTCTGCATGTAAGGTCAGCAGTTCATGAGCGTGAGCTCGGGTCGAAGCTGAACTCTGTAGATCTCTGTGGGTTTACTTCATTAACAGCTGTTAGCAGGACCTGATGCTAACAGCTGTTAGCAGGACCTGATGCTAACAGCTGTTAGCAGGACCTGATGCTAACAGGTGCTTACCTCCTAACTAGCCTTTTAATACTTTAAGCTAACTTTTTGCTACTTTCAATGTTTAGCTAGCATTTTACTTTCAGCTTTTAGCTAATTCTTTACTACTTTAAGCTACTTTTCAGAAGTTTTTAGCTTTTAGCTAGCCCTTAGATTTTTTATGCTTAAAGCTTTAGGCCATTCTTTTTGCACTTTTTTATTCTACTTAGCCTTGTGTCATTTTAAACCAACATTTGGACACATTTAGCATTTGGCTGGTGTTTTGCTACTCTATTAGCTCAACCCTATGATACTTTTGGCTTCAAGCCACTTTAAGCTAACTTTTAGCTACTTTTAGCATGCATTTTTCTCCTTTCAGCTTCTAGCTAGTCCTTTGTCACTTTAAGCTACTTTTCAGAAGCTTTTAGTTTTTAGCTAGATTTTTGCTACTTTTAGCTTCTAGCTAGATTTTTGCTACTTTTTTGTTTTACTTAGCCGTTTGATACCTTTAGCCAACATTTGGGCACTTTTAGCATTTAGCTAGTGTTTAGTCTCTAAGTTTTACATCAGCCCTGCAAAATGTTTAGTTTCAAGCTAGCAGTTTGATACTTAAAGCTAGCTATTTGCTACTTTCAGCTTTAAGACATCCTTTTGCATTTTTTTAGCTTCAGGCTAGCCATTTGATAGTTTTAGCTACTGTCCTTTAACTTGAAGTTTTTAAGCTACTGTTTTGCTACTTTTACCTAGTTCTTATAGCCTTATAGCCTGAAGGTGCACCTGGACCAGTCCTGGACCAGTTCTTCTGTGTTTGTCTGTGTCTCTTTCCTGTCCTCCAACCAGCCGGTCGAGGCAGATGGTCTCCTGTCCTGAGCCTGGTTCTGCTGGAGGTTTCTTCCTGATTAGCAGGGAGTTTCTCCTCTCCACCGTTTGCTCAGGATGGGAGACTGTGATGAAGTGATTCAACACAATCTGCTGCTTTCTTCTTTACATTGTTCTTTTTATGTACAGTGTCCTGAGACAACGTATGTTGTGACTTGGTGCTATATTAATAAACTTGAACTTGAACTTAAGTTTTAGCTACTGTTAACTTCTAATAAGTGTTCTACCTTTTGTCTTAAATGTTTATTTTCTGTTAGCTTATAGTTAGTGTTTTACTATTGTTGGTTTTCAATTTATGTTTTGCTTAATTTGCTTTCAGCTAATGTTTTACTAATAGGACTTCCCTGGTTTACTAATTTCATTGCAGTAGAAAGAAGGCTTCCGTGACCAACATTTAACAAGAAAATGAGCCTTACCATAAATCTGAACGGCCTGGCATGAGCCTTTTCCTTTCGCTGAAATATGGTTCAAAATCTTGAGTCTTGAGTCTGTGGGCGTAGTCTATATATCCAGATACCTCCTGTCCAAGTGGATTATAATCCCTTATGAAAATGATTGACTGAAAAAAAAAGAAAAAGAAACAGAAGGAAACGCTCTGTGTTAATAATCATGACAGTCTTTTCCAAATAAAACCCCTTAAAGACAGCGTCCCACTTCAGACAGATGAAAGAGATTTGGGGATGAAAGAGATTTGGGTAAAATATTACAACATTTAAACACAAAGGCTCTTATTAAATGTTGAAAATGGTTCAAAAAATAAAAAAAAGATTCCAGCTTGGTGTCATCCAGTGGCCCGAGCTCAGTGAGGTGGCCTGTCTGAAGAATATCCTGCTCAGGTCGGTGCGTGGGACAGGAGCAGAACCATTTAATGTACAGTAACTAAAGTCTCAGTTCCGTTCCAACACTCCTACAGTCGGGGCAAGAAGGCTTCATGAAGTTACATAACATGTGGAGTTCTGATTTAAAACTTAATGCTGCGGTTGTGAGAAAGAATCAGATCATTCTGGTTCAAACACAAAAGAAGAAAACTGTTCACCCAATGATGCAGGAGTTCAAACTCATTTTCATTGAGGTTCTGATGTAATCGTTTCGTGTTTGACTTCAACACAAAACGTCACGCTCCTGAGCTCCGCTAACAAACATTAACTGAGCTCTACCTGGTGTTTCCTGCAGAGAAACAGTGTTTTAACATTTCTTCTTATTAACACTGGAACGTACTGTGTACGACTGAATAAATGTTACATAAATAAAACAGAAATACTATTAAAAGTAAAAGTAAGAATTTTACTCACTATCCCACTTTCCTACAGGGAATTCCCATTGTTTATATATAGAAACTTGTAAGTGGGAAATTCCTACTTCCCAGTAAAGCTGGGCTGCAGTAAAAGTAGTTTTACATTCTGAATTTTGCTTTGAGCCGTGTGCAGCTCCACCTACTGGTGGGATGCCGTCATTTTGTGGTTAAAATGATTGACATGAATTATGGGAGATGTAGTTTATGGTCAACGCCGGCTTTAAAGTAGAATACACTTAGTTTAAAACATTAATATTAGGGCTGCAATGATGCAGAAAATTCGCTCTTCAGTTCAGTTCGATACTTTAGTCTCACGGTTTGATATATTTTTCGATACAAAAAAGAGAAATGCCCATGCCCTTCTTAAATTGTAACTCATTTAAATTAATTATGAACATTTGTTTAACCTCAAAAGTATAGTTTTTAAATTAAATGTTGCTGAAACA